TTTTTTTGGAATCTAAAAAAGTTGTATTTTTCATTCATTTGAACCTTGAACTAAATCACCAGTAAAAATTTGCAAGAAGAGTCCCTGGAGTCTTGTAGCATTGCAGTAAAAATTCAATGGATTTCCATGGATTACTGAGTGAACACAAGCAGCACCTGGTGGTGAAATTGTTGCAAAGAAGGGAAAAATCCCATTTTCAAGGGTAAGTCAGATCCACGTTGACAATTTAAAATGATTTTAAAAATCCTCATGGAAGAAATTCAGGAGCTAATCATGCAAACACAGGGAACAATTTTTTTTTGGAATCTAAAAAAGTTGTATTTTTCATTCATTTGAACCTTGAACTAAATCACCAGTAAAAATTTGCAAGAAGAGTCCCTGGAGTCTTGTAGCATTGCAGTAAAAATTCAATGGATTTCCATGGATTACTGAGTGAACACAAGCAGCACCTGGTGGTGAAATTGTTGCAAAGAAGGGAAAAATCCCATTTTCAAGGGTAAGTCAGATCCACGTTGACAATTTAAAATGATTTTAAAAATCCTCATGGAAGAAATTCAGGAGCTAAAAATAAAACATGTCGGAGGTGTTTTAACTTACCACGAAAAAGCCCCCTAAAACGATAAAATCAGCTGATAATGTAGATCTGGAAATGCAATTTAGCTAGTTTAATGGCGTTTTTTGTCATGTGGATACAATAAAAGTGTAATGTGGAAACGGGAGAGGTGTAACATAGCCAAGCGCCCTACAACAAGTATTAACTTCATGCACTGTATTCAGCGCTACTGTGCATAAGTGCAGATGAATGCTTTTTAAGTGATGTTAATGCTCGTTAGACTAAATCCCCTGCACATTAGCACGGTTTTTCCCAGCCACACTAATGCGCAGTAGAATTAGTCTAATGAGCATTAAGCATCTCATATATATCTGTCCTCTGAGTCCCAAATCCCAGACTCTAAGACTCAGCTCACCTGTGGCTCCCAGGGCTTCTAGGCTCCCTGCTAATTTTCCCTTCCAGGGAAAAATTCTATTCTTTGTTCCAAAATAGAGAGAAAGTATCTGTAAGAAACTCCCATGGAATAGAATCTCCAGCTTTTCTTCAGTTGGCCTGATAAGATTCCTGTTGAGTACCGATTAAACAGACTTATAAACATGCATCCTTCTTACCCTAGCAATAGCAGCCAGATGAAACCTGTCAAGGTAACTTGTGCGTGAGATTTTCTCCCAGAACTCTGTTACCGTTTCCTTATGAATTAGGTCACTGGACAATGCACAGGAGTTATCAAATTCAGATCTATTTTTCTCTCTGTCTCTTTGTCTATTTTAAGTCTCATTGCCCCAAGGATTGCAAAAGCAGGGAAAACCTGATGCCATGTGATCACCAAAGAAGACTTAGGTGTATAAGCATTGTGCTGCTAGTATGCTACCCCCATGCACAGTGAAGTTGTGTACACATGTGATGCAGACACAGGAAAATTGACCTGAACATTGTGCTTCCTGTCTCTTCTTCTGTCAATCATTCCTTTCTTTAACCTGATTTGCCTTACTGGTGACAGTAGCTACACTGATGTATATATTGACTCTATTTCTTTTTTTTTCTTTTTTCTTGGTGGATTTACATCAAGAAAAAGCTCCCCACAGACAAATCCTTTATTTCTTATGCAGCATCTCCTCAAAAGTCTCCGCCTGGTCTTCCAACAGACAATCCCATGTTATTTTTAAGAGATACCCTTATCTATTTTACAGCACATTTCTCATTAATATTATAAGTATATGATGTTTCTATCTTGCATCTACTTTTCAAGTAAGACAGAAAGTTCTTTAGATAGCAAAAAGACAGACACATAAAAACCCTATATTATCTCCTCTCTCCCAAGTTTGCTCACCATTCAGGAATTTTTTGTAAGATTTAGGCTAATGTCTTTGAAAGAGTTGAGGATCCTGCCTAACTCAACCCTCCTGTAAATGGCTTCTCTTCTATATTATGGGTTCTCTATGGTCTTCTTTCTCTGCTTGTTAAAATGACTTTGGAGACATTATATCTACTCTAATGATGAGTTCCCTTTTTCTGGTCAATCTCTTCATCTATGGGGTGACCAACTGCTTACTTATGAGACTATCTGCGCACTCTCAAGTTTCTGGAACTAGCTGGGGTATTTCCTGGTTCCCTCCATCTATGCCTTAAGCCCTTTTCTACCACACTATATCAAGGGCCACGTTTTCAAAAATGGAAACCCAGATTTTCATATAAATGTACTCATAAACAAACCATAGCTATGCTAATTTTCACTGCTCTATTAATTTTGTGCATGCTCCATTGTGTCTAACCTTTTTTATATGCAAATGTCCAGTTTGTTCAAACACAAGACTTACATGTGCAATCATGACTATACTTTGGCGCACACATTTTCTATGCACAGCCGTTTATCGAAAATTAGCCTTCTATAAATGATCACTTAAACTACTTATAACCAAGTGGACCACGGTCTGGCAGTTTTGTACAATATGGATTTGATGTTGTTTACATGACATTGATTAGCCAGCTCATGGCAAGAAGTCCTGAAAGAATCATCTTTAGGAACCATGTAATAGATTATACAATCAAGAGGACTTTCAGGTAGATAATATGTAGTTCAATGAATCATAATAATAACTTGCTATAGAATCTTACTATCTTATTGCCCTTGTTGCTGCAATTAAGTGGCAATCATTGTTTTCATTGCCCTTCATGAGGAGACTATGCATGGCTTGGAAATGTTATGACAGTGGAGCTCAGACATGCCATCTCCATGTGGGTTGATCCCTAGGTTGGAAGCTTTGTGTAGGCTGGTTCAGATCTTGGCAGCTCTGCCTCTATGTGATTTGGAGCTTTTAAACTCTTCACTGGAGAGTTGGATGAGATTCCCACCCTGTGAATAGGCAACAACCAAAATAAACTCTCCCTCTCTCCTACCCATGGATAGCATGTTTGACTAGGACCCCATCCCAGTCAAACAAGCCAAGTCTATTTATTCTTGCATAAGTCTTCTGAACTCTTCAGAAGAGCCAAAAATACAGGGGAGGATGATTCCTGCTTTTTGTGCTGTCTTGTCTTACACTCCTCCAAACACAGGAGCTCATATTAATAGTTCTTATACAAGACTCTGCTCTTTCAGTCAGTCAATTAATCCTCATAATCCCTGCATTTGCTCAATCTCACTGACCTCTATAGTACTTCCAATTAACTAAAGAGAAAAAATAGAGACAAACAGGATAAGTGAACCATCCTAGTGGAAGGCAATGGAGCCTAAAATTTTGTTAGGACTCAGATGCAGAAGACCCAGATCTCACCTCTGGTGTTAATTTATTGTGTGGCCATAACCGGTTACTTGACATTTCTGATCACAGCTTTCTGATTTTTAAAATAAATCTAATACTACCTATCTAACACAGCATACTTTGAGGAAAGCTACTAATTTACATAATGAGGTATTACATATGGAGCTAGGAAAACTTTTCATTAACTCTTTCCTTTTTTAAAAGAAAAATGGCTTTTTTAACCAAATGAAAACATCTGTGAGAACTTGATTTTATCAAAATGTTGGCAGTATTCCGTTTTTCACTGAAAACAAACAAACAAAAATCTATAAAAATGTAAATTAAAAATTTATTTCTTAACTTTTCATAGGGAGTCAAATATTTTCACCAGAGCTAATTATGACTAAAACACTGAATATGACTGAGTAGGGAATAGCAACAAGGGATTCTTTTCTCCCTTAATTTCAAGTGATACTTCTACTTCTCCTTTATGTTTGCAAGAATCCATGAAATCTCTGAAGATTTTGTGACACCTGCATCACCTGATACAGAGGAGTTTTAGGTTCACGAACTCCAAACTGAATAACTCTAAAAATAGCCAGGCAACCTTTCCAAAAAAAGTTAAAGTTACCAGTCCTCTCTGAGGCCAATTAAATAAAACAAACTTGAAGTTTCTAGGCCATTCCAGTTTTGACGTATGACATCGCTAAAATAAAAGTTAGAATAAGTATTATTCTATGAAATTCCTCTTATTTTTCACACTGCTTCAGTCTGTTTTCTTCCTTTCCTTCCTATAACACCAAACTTTTTAAAAAATGGACATAAATGATAGAACTATCAAGAAGATTCTTTTGATTAGCTGAAGGCGAGGTTGCTGGAGGGGATGAAATCAGGAAATTGAGTCAAAATATTGCTTCTAATGGAAAACAGATCAATGGCTTAATTTTTTAACTTAATTATTAAAACTATATCTTTAGGATGATATCTTCAATGCGGGGGAGGCCTCTGTCTTTTGGATTGGCAAACTGTGTAACCACACTTTGCACTTAGAAATAAACTGCATCTGCATTGTGAATGGACAAAGAGAGAATTATAGGCACAAATCAGGCAGTAGGGTTGGCCCACATTTTTTGGGGCCCCCTGAGAGATATAGTTTTGGGGCTCCCTGGCGTGAAGAAGCTGATGGTGACAGTGGCGGTGGCAGCAGCGGCGGCGGCAGCGGTGGCAGCAGCAGGTGGGGAGAGAAGGGGGGAGAGTGGCCGAAGAAGCCTGCAGCAGCAGCAACAGGGAGCGGTGGAGTGTTCACGGCTGCAGGGGGCCCCTTGGCTGCAGGTTTTGCAGGATAGGGTGGGCCGGCCCTGTCAGGCTGTTACAGTGACAAGTACTATTTGACACTGTTCATTTTTGTAAGGGCAAATTGTGCCTTCTAAAAGGAAAGCTAGGCCTTAGAACTTGGAAAAATGACTTAGATTTTGAGAATAAGAAGGTAGTAGATCTATGCAAATAGCTGTCAAGTTATGCCAGCTTAATGTTGCTCTTAGAAGTTTAACTTTTACATTGACTTTAAATGTTGATGTTTAAATATTGTCAATTAGTCTTTGAAGTTCACACTTCATTAAGGTATAAGAGTAGTGGAAGGTGATTTCCCACCTTTTCCGATGCTTTTGTTTGTGATTAGACTATTTTCTGCAACATTGGGTTAACAGGACGTCGTCAGAAATTCATGGATTTTCCTTGGGATAGCTATAATTTGACAAGGCAAAAGAAAAAGGTAAATCTTAATGGACTTTTTCCCCATTGGCCCAATCCAGATTCTAGTCACTATTAGCTGGCCACACAGAAATAATGTTGTGGTTTCGTCCCAGATCACAGTAAAAATATACTCTGTACAATTGACAGCTTCTGCTGAGAAGGGGTTCAGGAGAAGAACATCAGAGGTTTATAATTTTGAGTCAGGACAGGAAGTTTATCAGTAATTCTGTCTGGGTGACAATGTCACCTACTCAAAAATAATACCATTAATTACTCTATTGTTATAAATAGAAGATTCACCCACAGACTTCAAGAAAATGTTAAGCAAGGTAGTTTGTAATTTTAGAAAAGTTCAGGGCAGGTACAGCACTATCATATTAACCTCAGATATACAATATATGGTCTGTTTGTTGTAATAAGCACCTAACTGCTGCCTATTATGCTTGTAACTCACTTAATACTATACCTACTAGGTAAACGTATTCATGGGTTCATTTGAGCAGAAAATTCCCTTTCTAATATAACTGATATTAAGAAATAGCTGTTTGTTGTTGATGTTGTTGTTGTTGTGTTTTCCAGAGCATGCAATCTCCTTTTACAAAACTTTACATATCCTTCAGCAAGAGTTTCCACAATCAGCCAATGGTTCCAGTCCACCACTATGAAACATGCTACTTCTGAGGAGAAATCAGACAGGAAGCCACCCACTGGTCAGATGGGCCTCCAAATGCAGTTATGTTAGAATATTAACTCAGCTTTTATACATCTCCTTAAACCAGTCAAACAGTTCGTGTAATTGTCTTTTTACATTCAAGCTAATACTGCTCAAATTTGAGCTCTTTATTCCATTACCTTGACTCCAACAGGACTACTTGTTACAGGTAACTATTCATCAGTAAGAGGAAGAGGTTAACACCCTCATGCTATGTACTTGCATCATTCTAATTTCAATACAAAAGAGTGGCTAAGTGTGCAACTTCCACTCTGGCACTTACTTGCATGAGTATGCCAATCTTTTTGCTCACAGGAGCAATTCTACAGGAATCTACGGGTCGCACAGTTAAATCCAAATGAAGGTGCTTTCATTTATATGTTATTGCTACTGAAGACTGAGCTCTGGCTCTGCTTCCTGGGTTTTTTGATTGACAGTTACTTTGTTGTATAGAGGGAGCTAACACATCTAAAATCTCTTAAAGAAGATCAACTGTAATGTAAGAAACTGTTCAGCAAGGTCAAATGTGTAGGTGTTTGGTATTTCTTTTAAGAAATGTGTCATACAGCAATGAAGTTTATAGCATTGTAAAGGTCCAGGGTTTAGAATAAAGGAAAAATCAAATCACTTCTATAACGAAGGAACACAGAGAACCACCCAAACCTAGAATCAAAATGCATAAACTGAATGCTTACAACATTTACAATCTCCTCATGCTTTTGTTATTTGAATACAATAGATCACTATCTAAAAAAACTGATAAAAGCTAGCTTTTTCCATGCATAGTTGACCTGTTTTTGACATTGTCCAGTGATTTCTAGTTTTCCTCACATTACAGCCATATTGTAAGCTCTGAGACACACACCATTACTCTCAGAATCACAAAGCATGATTAATTGTGGGGACAAACATCTGCATCCTCATACCTATCAAAAAGAGTAATGTGTTGACATCACTAATGTGATTTTTAAACATTTATTTTATTATGACTTTAGTAGCTTTTCTTTGACCAAGAAGGAATGAAAAATCTACTCTGGAAAAAAATAGGAAAATACAGGTTCTTGAAATACATGTCATTTCAAGAGTCTCCTCTTTTCTATCTCCATGGCATAGGGAGAAAGTCTTCTTGGCAACTAGTGTGGAAAATACAGCCCCATAGATGGATGCCCTCTCTCATCCACAGGCTCTCTCTCCCAGATGTTCCTGACTGAACATTTCCTGTGCTGATACAATTCGCCTAGGGAGAGGTGCTCCTTAACATAAAAGTGCAGACACTGTAGCTTAGCCAGATTTTGTTGGACTGCTGTAGTCAGAAGTTTAATACAGACACACACACACATATCTGTGCTGTATTCAGGTGAATTCAGGAGCACTGTAAACATGATGTAAGCAGGTAACCAGTTTAGATAATTAAGATTTAAAATTCATTCAGTGTTGCAGTACTAGTTTTTGTTTGTGTTGTGTTAATATCTAAAGATCCCAACTGTGCTGGGCAAAGGAATACATACAAATTCAAAGGCAAAACCCAAAAGAGCATTGGTGAGTAAACAGGAGCAGTAAACAGGGCAGTTTGCAAGCAGTTTACTTGGAGCAAGAGGGGGAACGGAAAGAGGAAGAGGAGCCAGGCACCAGGAACCAGATCCTGCTTCAGGGGGAAACATCAAAGAGACCAGATTAGGGGGGGATTTGCAAAGGAAGGTCTGCTTGGAAAGAGGGTCTGGAAAAGAGAGGCAGTGGATTAAGAGACCCAGAGAAATGGCTGGAGAATGTTGCAATGCTAGAGCCACTGCCACGGCTAGCTCTTCCTTTGCTTGCATCTATGAGTTTTCTGTCCAGGCAAGACCACTCACAGTCAAAGGCCTGCTTTGGTGCTGTGGAGAATTTGGCTTGCAGGTTCCTTCCAGTGACAGCCAGGTGGAGGAGTGCCTGCAGTGTGACCAGTGCCTCCTAGTGGTGTCACTCAGGGAGCGGGCAAGACAGCTACAGGAGGGGGTGGCAAGGTTCTGAAGCATCCTCTGCCATAAAGGCCTCATAAATTTGATGCTGGAGAAGACTTCTAGAACTGTGGAAGAAGAACTGCCAATGGCAGTGCTGGAGAAGGAAGAGAACATGGACTCCCAGGAAGGTGAAAATTGGAAGCTTGTGGCCTCTGGAAGTAAGCAAAAGTCTTCATGTCCACCTGAAGTGGTTTGCCTAGATGGCAGATATGGAGCTGGAACAACATAAGACAAGAAGCATGTTCCATTGATGAAAGAGGCCAGGCCAGGCATCCCTAAGGTTGGAAGGACTCCCACCAAAAGGAAGTGACAGGCGCTGGTTGTTGGAGCCCTGAGATAAGTGGAGAAGTGGGTGATCTGGAGAAAGCACAAGCAGGAAGGGGCAACGGGGTGGGGGGGCTTCTCATTCTTCCTGAGAAAGTAGGGCAATCAGCTTGTTGCCTCAGATATCTGCACAGAGCCTGGAAAACAAGCAAGAAGAATTATAAGTCCTTGCATAGTCACAGAACTGTGACATGATTGGAATAATAGAGACTTGTTTGGATAACTCACATTACTGGAGCAGTGTCATGGGTGTAAACTGTTCAAGAAGGACAGGCAGAGAAGAGAAGGAGGAGTTGTACTTTATGTAAAAGAGTTGTATGATTGCTCAGACATCCAATATGGAGCTGAAGATAGGCCCATTGAAAGTCTCTGAGTTATGGTCAGAGGAGAGAGCAACAAGGGTGATGTTGTGGTGGGTGTCTGCTATAGACCACCAGGCCAGGAGAATGAGGTGATTAAAGCTTTTTTCAAACAGCTAACAGAAGTTTTATGATCACAGAGAGACTTCAATCACAGTGACATCTACTGGGAGGGCAATAAAGTGGTGGAAAGGCAATTCAACACGTTTTTGGAGAGTGTTGGGGATAACGTCCTGGTGCAAATGTTGGAGCGCCAACTAGAAGCCATTCTCTTCTTCAACTGCTGCTCACAAACAGGGAAGAAGAATTGGTGGGAATGTAGAACTGGATGGCAATCTGGCCAGCAGTGGCTGTGAGATAATTGAGTTCAGGATCCTGAGTAGAGGAAAGAAGGAGAGCAGCAGAGTAAGGAACCTGGAGTTTGGAAAAGTGGACTTCGATTCACTCAAGGAACTGATGGGCAGGATCCCCTGGGAGGCCAATTTCAGGGGAACAGGAGTCTAGGAAGCCAGTTGTACATTACAGAAACCCTACTGGGAGTGCAGGAATGAACCATCCTGATGCACAAGAAGACTAGCACAGATGGCAGAAGCCCAGCTTGACTTAGCACAGAACTCTTCAGTAAGCTAAAACAGAAAAACATGCTTACAAGAAGTGGAAACTTGAACAAACATCGAGGGATGAGTATAAGACTGTTGCTTTGGCATGCAGAGATGAAATCAGGATGGCAAAAGTGCAGTTGGAGTTGCAGATAGCAAGAGATGTGAAGAGTAACAAGATGAGTTTTTACAAGTATGTCAGCAACAAGAGGAAGGTGAGGGAAAGTGTTGGGTCCATTACCGAATGGGGGAAGTAACCTAGTGACATTGATGTGGAAAAGGCTCAAGTACTCAATGCCTTTTTCACCTGAGTCTTCACAGACAAGGTCAGCTCCCCGACTATTGCACATCACAGCATAGTTTGGGAAGGAGCTGAGCAACCAACAGTGGCAAAAGAACAAGTTACGGACTGTTTAGAAAATCTGGACATGTATTAGTCCATGTACAGGCTGTACAGGATGCACCTGAAAGCGCTTAGGGAGTTGACTGATGTGATTGCAGAGCTGCTGGGCATTATCTTTGAAAACTTGTGGCAATTGGGAGAGGTCCTGGATGATTGGAAAAGGGCAAACATAGTACCCATCTTTAAGAAAGGGAAAAAGGAAGATCTGGGGACTAAAGATTGGTCAGCCTCATCTCATTCCCTGGAAAAATCATAGAGCAGGTCCTCAAGGAATCCATTTCAAAGCACTTGAAGAAGAAGGTGATTAGGAACAGACAGCATGGATTCACCAAGGGCAAGTCATACCTGACCAGCCTTATGAGATGTGATATACCTTGACTTCAGTAAGGCTTTTGATATGGTCTCCCCCAGCATTTGTGCATGCCAGCTAAGGAAGTACAGGTTGGGTGACTATAAGGACTATAAGGTAGATTGAAAACTGGCAGGATTGTCAGTCTAAAAGGGTCACACTCAATGTCTCAATGGAAGCTGGTATCATGTGGAATGACCCAGGGGTCAGTCCTGGGGCTGGTTTACTTCAATATCTTGATCAATGATCTGGAGGATGGCATGAAGTGCACCCTCCACAAGTTTGTGGATGACACCAAGTTGGGTGGAGTAGCAGATACATGGGAGGGTAGGGGTAGGATTCAGAGAGACTGAAACAAATTGGAGGATTGGACAAAAAGAAATCTCAGGAGGTTAAATAAGGACAAGTGCAAAGTCCTGCACTTCAGATGGAAGAATCCCATTCACCAGTACAGACTGGGAACTGACTTGCTAAGCTGTACCTCTGCAGAAAAGGACCTAGGGGTTACAGTGGACAATAAGCTGAATATGCTGAATATGAGCCAACAACATGCCCTTGTTCCAGAGGCCATACTCTCTATCATACTGGGCTGCATTGCAGCAGTGTTGCCAGCATATCGAGGGAAGTGATTATTCCCTTCTATTCAGCACTGGTGAGTATCCACAAAAAGGATGCGGACAAATTGGTGAGAGTCCGGCAGAGGGCAATGAAAATGGTTAAGAAGCTGGGGCACATGACTTGAGAGGAGACATTGAGTGCATTGGGCTTATTTAGTTTGGAGAAGAGAAGGCTGTGGCAGGATTTAATAACAGGCTTCAATTACTGGAAGGCTGGCACTACAGGGAACCCTTATTCTGTTACTGAATGCCGGGGAAGAAGAGAAATGGAGGTGCAGAGATGAGAGGGGCTGAGAAAGCTAGGAATGGAGGGCTGGCTTCCTTAAAAATAGAACAGCA